GCCCGCGCCTGGGGCCCCGGCAGGGGACCCCCGAAGGCCTGGGTTTCCTGTTCCCCGCTCCGCGCCCAGGTACCTGAGCGCCCGGCGTGGCCTGCCCTGGGGCAGGCGTCACGTTTCCACTGGGGCCCCGGAGGGTCGTCCTCAAGGCCTGCGGGCGCCAGAGGCGTGTGCTGCCGAGACCTTCCCATCCCTGCGCGCCACGGATTCGGGCCTGAGCCCGGAGGGCGTCCAGTTTGCCGCGGATGTGGGGCTGGGAGAGGGCCTAGTGCTTGCGGAAGGCGCAGAGTCCGGAATCTGCGGGGAAGGGAGGAGGGGCAGGAGTGGAGAGGAAGGGGAGCCGGGCAGGGGCTTCCCGGAAGGCTGGGGTCAAGTCTAGGGTGGACCCACAGCTAGTTCGTTGAGCACTGACTGTGCGTTGAGTGTGGGGCTCGGTCAGGCACCACCAAGGACCCCATTCCCCAGGGAGTGATGGGGCCTGGCCCAGCCCAGCACCCGGGGCAAGGAAGCAAGCACCTCCCGCACCCTTCTGCACTTTGGCTGGCCCTGGCCCTGAGCCTGGTTTCTCATCCCTAAGTGCAGGCCACAAGAACTATGACACCCTTTGGCTATGGAATCCTTTCTCAACCAAGAGCCACTCAGGTGGAACTTTGTTGTTTATGGGCCTTCAGGGAGGACGAGGAAACCTCCAGACACCACTACTGCCAGCCGTGTGCCCATAGCTGCAGGCTTCCTGGCAACTGCACCCATGAGGGTAGGAGGGTGTGGATAGGTGGAAAGGCACAGCCCTCTGGCTCCTGCTGGAAAGTGCCTCCGGCCCACCTGAGTGTGAGCAGAGGTGTGGCACCTCGAAGAGCCCCAAGTAAGGCAGGCACAGAGCTTGGGTTTCCCACTTTGACAGGACAGACCCACAGAGAAGCCAGGGGTGAGGGTAGCCTGGATCTTGCAGGTGGCAACAGGCTCAGCAGATACCTACTCAGACTCTGTTGTTAACTAATATTCCTTGCTGTTTGAATAGATTAGCAGTGGTGACCCTATGTCAAAATAATTTGATACAACATCACCACAAAGGGTCATGAGTGCATAAGACTCATGAGGGATTTAAACATCTGCTATGATTAGTGTTGTTAAAAACCTCTTCTTTGGCGAAATAGCAGAACAACATGTAAAACAATTGGGGTGTAATGTAGCCAAAGGAAAAAAAAGTTGGCTCTAGAGATTTGTCAAAAGGAAAAATTGGAGACTATTCTCGATGCCTCCTAGTACTTGCCTCAATTGGACCTGTTCTCCCATTTCTCTTGGCTCTATCAGGCCCTGTTTTATAAATTGTTTAAGTATGTTCAAAAAAATCCAGACCATCAAGTCAATGGTGCTGAGATCTAACTACGAATCCCTCATGCTCCTGGGACAATTATAATAACTTGGGGGTTTTAGCTGAATCACTGATTTCATTCCCAGATAAAACAAGTGGAGAATGTAATGGGTCAACTCACATTTTGGGCTATAAATGTAAATCTTGTGTTTTCTGTTGTGTAAATGTATATTCACCCACTGTTCTAGGTTGTTTAGTAAATAGTGGCTGTTACTTGCTGTTTGCTAGATAAAATTCCTACCTCACCAATTCCTGTTAACAAAGTTAGCTTACAGAGATGACTTCAAAAGGAAACTAAATGGGCTTTAACTTCTTGTAACCTCGGGCTATGCAAGGCTGCCTGCAGGTACTCAGGTGCAAGATAACCAGAAACTAAAACAAAGCCCCAGGAAGTTGAGTTTGGGTAGTGGTCACAGTGACCCTGAAAACATTGTTTTGTGTCAGACAATGAATTTGTTTACCAAACAGAATGTGGTTTTTTCATGTGCCTTTCAGTTCTCTCCTGTGTGAGAGCTGATGGGGTCCCTGAGCTCAGTAATAAATGGCTTTCCAAATTCAAAAAAAAAAACCCACAGGCTCAGCAGGGCCCAGAACAGATACAGGCTGCTGAGTGCCAAGGAGCAGGACTCAGCCCAGGAGCCCATCACTGGCTGGTGAACACAGAATGCTCAAGATTTGGGGAGAATAGAATCCCTGGGAAGGAATGAGGCTGTGCCCAGGCCAAGGTGCCAGAGAGGTACAGGGCAGCATAGCCCATCTGCCTGTTCTGCTAAGTGGCTTAGCATGGCACAGAGTTCAGCTTAAAGAGCAGGATGAGGGCTGGCGAGATGGTTTAGCACACTAAGCACTTGCATAGGCAAGCTCAGGGATGGTGGGTTCAGTCCCAGGACAAAATGACATGCTGGCCCCACCCTCAGGCACGCTGAGCAGGGCATAGTGGCACAGGCCTGCAATCCCAGTGCTGGGGAGGCTGAAAACAGGAGGATCACAACAAGTCTGAGCTACATAGTGAGACCCTGTACCAAATACATTTAAAAAAAAAAAGATCAGGGGTCGTCAGGATGGAACCCTTTTTTCCTTTGTGGCCACACCTCGATCCAGTGGCATAGGGACTGCAGCTATGTAGGGCATGTACCTGGCCAGCTCCCATCGGCAACTACGAAAGAGGCGGCTCCCTGCATTTAGGGCCCAACCCGTTAGCGGGGATGCTAGGCAGTGAATGTTGGTGGTGGCCAGCTTTGCTTTCAAGGGGCCTGGTTTCCAGGGCGACCTGGTCCCCGAACCCAGGTGAGCATCACAGATCTGATAGCCGGAAACCACACCCCCCTCGCTTTGTGCAGCTGGGATGTTAGCCCCTGTGAGAAAGGGGCAGGGAGTTTGGGGCACAAGCTGTTCCCATGGGCCATGTGTGGGGGCCCACCTGCCTCTGAATCCCAGTGTCCCTCCTGTCTGGATTAGCACTTAGGCTTCTACCCGTGCTCCCAGTGTCCTGCTCCTGTCTGAACATCCAGGCTTGGTCTGACCTTGATCTTTATGCACCACACCCGGAGGGGGCTGCATGCTCCTGGGGCCTAGGGACCAAGAGCTGCCTGTGGGCAGGAACCTCTGGAAACCCCTATATGCAGACATGCGCTGCAGTCTTGCAGGCTGCATCTGCTTTCCATTAGACTTGGAAGACAGCAGGGGATTCCAGGCAGTAGCAGCATTCTGTGCCAGTGCACAGATGTCGAGGGCCTGGTGCCCCAGGAGCCCTTTACCTGTTTGCCCCCGCTGTTTTGATGCCAGCCACCAGGGGTGGCAAAAAGGCCCTTCAGGATAGGCAGACAGAGCTGAGCACTCTGTAGGCTGAGGCCAGAGGATCACTGCAAGTTGAGAACGCGAGGCCAGCATGAACAGGGCGAGACCCTGTCAAAATAAACACAAGGCTCAGGCTTGACTCAGGTCTCCACATTCCCTTTGGGGGCTTGCTGTTCCCCCAGCCCAATTTGTTGAGCAACCTCTGGGCTGGGTTCTCAAGCTGGGAGCATCTGAGCAAGGGGTGGGAGAGGTAGGGACAGCAGTGACCTGGTGATACCGATCAGTGGTTGCCCTGACCACAGGATGGGCTCACATCTGGAAACACTGTCTCAGACTGCACCCGGCTCAGCCTGAGAGAGGGTAGAGGGCTGGCAGCACAGCCCCTGGGAGAGAGGAGGTCGGGTTCCCGCGCCCTGCTTGGCCCCGCTTCACAGCACGGGCATGTCGAGGTTGGGATCCCACCTCCTACCCCCTAAGCACCACTGAAAGTGATCCAGCGGTCTCCAAGGGCAAAGTAAAGGCTAGAAGGAAAGTCCTGAGGGCTGACCCCCCTTCGCCCCCCAGGCCCTTCCAACCATGCCTGGATCAGGGTTGTTTCACAGCGCCTCTGGCAGCAGGCGCAAGGGAGCGGGTGGTGGGTGCTCACTGGCGCCCCTGGTGACGGCGTGCGGCCTTCAGGCGACGTGGTGGACGTTTACCAGCGGGAGTTCCTGGCGCTGCGCGATCGCCTGCACGCTGCCGAGCAGGAGAGCCTTAAGCGCTCCAAGGAGCTCAACCTGGTGCTGGACGAAATTAAGAGGGCTGTGTCCGAGAGGCAGGCGCTGCGGGAAGGAGAGGGCAACCGCACCTGGGGCCGCCTGACCGGTGAGTGGCAGGTCGAAGGGTGGGCGCCCTCTGTGCACCCTCCTGGTGCTGGCTTGATCCCCGCTTTCCCCCCCAGAGGACCCCCGGCTGAAGCCCTGGAACGCTTCGCACCGGCACGTGCTTCATCTGCCCACCATCTTCCACCACCTGCCTCACCTGCTGGCCAAGGAGAGCAGCCTGCAGCCAGCCGTCCACGTGGGCCAGGGCCGCACCGGAGGTAGGGGAGGTGATGGGAGGGCAGTGGATTGGCCCTGAGGCCCCACGCTCCAGCATCCCCTGTGCCCACAGTGTCGGTGGTAATGGGCATCCCGAGCGTGCGCCGCGAGGTGCATTCCTACCTGGCGGACACGCTGCACTCGCTCATCTCCGAGCTGAGCCCGCAAGAGAAGGAGGACTCGGTCATTGTGGTGCTGATCGCTGAGGTGAGTGGCCAAGGTGTGGGAGCAGGGAAGGAGAAAGGAAACCTGAGTTGGGGAAGCTAGTGGCAGGCAGTTGCCACCTCATTCGCAAATTTAGGAAGACAGATAAAAAGCCCAGAGCCCCAAGCGCCCCCTGGCAGAGGTGCGGTTACCGGTCCATTCACCACCTCCCTGCAGGGCGCTGGCTGCTGGATCCTAGGCCCCAGGTCCCATCCCTGGGGGGCCCCTAGGAAGCCCTCATGCCCTCCCCTGCTTCCTGGCCTTCTGGGGCGTGGCTGGGCTCAGAGTGTGCTGGTCTTCCCACAGACCGACCCTCAGTACACTTCGGAGGTGACAGAAAACATCAAGGCCTTGTGAGTCCACCCGAGAGCTGGAGGAGGGGCCATGGGCCGTGTGGGGTGGGTTCTGCTCCCCTGGGATGGAGCCCGTGTGGAAGGGTGTGGCTCCTGCTTAGTGCCTCAGATTGGCTGCAGGGGTCTGCTTACTAGGGTGCCCTTTAACCCTGGAGGCAGATACCCACTGGGCCTTCATGTTCCCTCCTCAGGTTCCCCACAGAGATCCATTCCGGGCTCCTGGAGGTCATCTCCCCTTCCCCCCACTTCTACCCAGACTTTTCCCGCCTGCGCGAGTCCTTTGGGGACCCCAAGGAGAGAGTCAGGTACCACCTGTCCTCCCCCTCATGCCCAGCAGCCCTGGGTGCCCAGGGCCTCAGGTGCCAGCCTCCCTACAAGGTCCTGCAAAGGTGGGATGGTTGCAGAGCCTGAGGCTCCTGTACCTGCCCCAGGTGGAGGACCAAACAGAACCTCGACTACTGCTTCCTCATGATGTATGCGCAGTCCAAAGGCATCTACTACGTGCAGGTCAGGCCTGAGCTCCGCCTGCCCCTTCCCACCCCACTCTGGTCAGACTCGGGCCTACCCCATATGTCCTGATCCTGACCCTTGTGCAGCTGGAAGATGACATTGTAGCCAAGCCCAATTACCTGAGCACCATGAAGAACTTTGCCCTGCAGCAGCCTTCAGAGGACTGGATGATCCTGGAGTTCTCACAGCTGGGCTTCATTGGTGCGCCTCTCACACCCCACCCCATGGCCTGGCCTGTGCGGGAGACCCTGTCAGGCTGCAGGGAGCCCCTGCCTTGTGCCCTTATGCTTCCCCTGCCTGGAGTGCACCCGCAGCCCATTCATACCCCTCCCGTTCCTGTGCCCAGGGAAGATGTTCAAGTCGCTGGACCTGAGCCTCATTGTGGAGTTCATCCTGATGTTCTACCGGGACAAGCCCATTGACTGGCTGCTGGACCACATTCTGTGGGTGAAGGTCTGCAATCCCGAGAAGGATGCGGTGAGCTGGAGCACACAGGGTCAGGGAATGGGTCGGCACGCTCATGTCCTCACCTCCGCCTATCTGAGCAGAAGAGGGTACTGTTTGCTATGGGAAGCTCTGAGTGTCACCAGGTGACCCCAGCTGAGCTCAAGATGTCACCTCCCTTCACAGAAGCATTGTGACCGGCAGAAGGCCAACCTTCGTATCCGCTTCAAGCCCTCACTCTTCCAGCATGTGGGTACCCACTCATCCCTGGCTGGCAAGATCCAGAAACTGAAGGTGGGCCTGCCTGCTGTTCTGGGCCAGGTGCAGGTGGAATGGAGGGTTGGGGACAGTGGGTGGGGCTCACCTCGGAGTCCTGACCCCCTAAGCAGGACAAAGACTTTGGGAAGCAAGCCCTGCAGAAGGAGCATGTGAACCCGCCCGCCGAGGTGAGCACCAGCCTCAAGACTTACCAGCACTTCACCCTGGAGAAGGCCTACCTGTGTGAGGACTTCTTCTGGGCGTTCACTCCGGCCGCAGGGGACTTCATCCGCTTCCGCTTCTTCCAGCCCCTGCGCCTTGAACGGTCAGTGCCCTAGTGGGCAACAGGGCCCTGGGGAAGGGCAGCGTGACTACAGGGGCCCAGGCTCAGCACTGATTGCTGGGTCTACAGGTTTCATCTGTGACTCCAGGTTTTCTTATTGAAAAGTGGGGCTCACAGTAAAACTTCTATAAGCAGAGGGCCAGGCGGACCCTGGGTGCTCCAGTCACCACTGTCCTGGGAAGGGACGCACCTGGTGCTCTGTGGGCCGGGCCTGGCCTCTGCTGGGCCCTGCGGTGCTCTGGGTCTGGCAAGCCGCTCACCACTGGTCTGGCCGTGTGTAGCTTCTTCTTCCGCAGCGGGAACGTCGAGCACCCGGAGGACAAGCTTTTCAACACGTCTGTGGAGGTACTTCCCTTCGATGTAAGTGTGCAGGGTGCAGGTGTGCTCCAGGCAGTGGGTAGGCGCTTAGGCCACTTGCTCCAGCCTCTTATTTGATCCCCCAGAACCCCCAGTCCGAGAAGGAGGCCCTGCAGGAGGGGCGCTCAGCAACACTGCGCTACCCACGGAGCGCCGACGGCTACCTGCAGATCGGTGAGCCGTTGCGGGCTGGATGGGCAGTGTAGCTGTTGGCGGGGCTCGTACCTGCTTTGGCCTGAGCTTGCCTTGCTGCTGCTTTCCAGGCGCCTTCTACAAGGGTGTGGCGGAAGGAGAGGTGGACCCGGCCTTTGGCCCCCTGGAGGCACTGCGCCTGTCCATCCAGACCGACTCCCCGGTGTGGGTCATTTTGAGCGAGGTGAGGCTGGGCACGCCCCGGACGGAGGACGGAGCCTGGGGATTCGTGGTGGTGCCCTAGGCCCGCTGACCCCGCCCAACTCCCCTAGATCTTCCTGAAAAAGGCTGACTAAGGGAGGCTTCCGGGGCGCTTCCGGCTTGCCCGAGATGTCTGCCGCTGCCCAGAGGGCCCGGTGCGGCCCCACGGTGGCTCTGCCCGCTCCCTGCTGGCTGGCCTGGGGTTCACCGCTGGACCGGAGGCCCCAGGAGCTGGTGCTGCCCCGGCCCGGGCCGCGAGAACGAACGTTGGCGGCCCCACACTGTGCCTGAGGGCCGGCCCGCGCCGCCCGAACTGGAACCGAACCCACCCGGAGGTCGACCCGGCGGGCCTCTCCAGGCCGTTTTAGAGGAGCTTTTCCTTGGGCGCTGCTGTCTGTGGCGCGAACACTGGAATGCATATACTACTTTATGTGCTGTGTTTTTTATTCTTGGATACATTTGATTTTTCACCTGAGTCCACATACACTTCTATAAGAGCGTGACTTGTAATAAAGGGTTAATGAAGTGTGTGCCTCACGTGTGGGAGCTCGAGCCTCCGTGCCGGGCCTGCGAGGGACCTGGCAGCCGCCGCCGCCGGGCGTCTGCACATCCCAGGCTGTCGCGCGCCCGGGGCGGCTGTGCCGGCCTCCCGCTCCGGCCCGCGCGCAGTGGGGGCTCCTCCCGCCCAGCCGCGCCTCTCGGCGGGCGCCTGCTCTGGTCCAGGACCCGGCGGGGCGGCTGGGGCGGTGGGGAGCCGGCCAGGAGGGGCCCACCCGCGCCGCCCTTGCGGACCCCTAGGCTACACAGCTACGACGCAGCCACAGCCTGCTCAAGGGAACTTTATTAGCGACCGAGTGCGGTGGCGGGAACCCCTCCTGTGCTCCTCGCGTATCTGCCCGGCCATCCGCCGTCCGTGGTTCAGGCCGTCCGCAGCAGCGCCCGTAGTGGTCTGAGGAGCGCGCCGCGCGCCGCAGCCGGGAGGAAGTGGGCGAGCAGGCCGAGCACCGCCAGCGCCAGCAGCAGCCAGAGCGTGCGCGCGCTCGCGTACAGCGGGGCCAACCTGCGGGCGGCGCTCAGCGGGGTGACGCGAGGCCCCGCCCACCGCCCCGGGCCCGCCCACCGCCCGGGCCCCGCCCACCGCCCCGGGCCCCGCGGGGCTCTCACCTGAGCTGCGCTGAGCGCGCGTAGCCCTGGAAGTAGCGAAGGCGCGTGAACAGGTAGACCAGGCCGCAGAGGGCTGCAGCGCCTGCGAGGGGGCGGCAGGGTGAGCGCAAGGCGTCCAACCCGGCCGCGCGCGCGCCTTGGCCGCCACAGACCTTCGTGGAAGTAGATGCCGGCCACCCACAGCGTGGCGAGGAACAGCGGGAAGTACTCGCTGCAGTTCACCCTGCGGTGGCGGCGGGCGGGTCGGGACTGGGGCTGAGCCTCGGCCTCGCCCGGCCCGCCCGCCCTCGCCCGGCCCGCCCGCCCACCCGCCCGTCTCACTGGGCTCGGTAGACGCGTTCGAACTCGGGCGGGCCGGTCGTAAGCGGAGGCGTTACACGGTGGGCCCTGCGCGCCTTGATCACCTGCAGGGAGAAGTAGGCTGCGGGCGGGAGCGGGAGTCAGGTGGGGACGCCCCCGCTGCCCGCCCACCCGCCCAGCGGCGGCCCGGCCGGAGGGAGGAGGCCCTTGCGTCCCCGCCTCGCTCCCAGGCTCCGGGCCGGGCCGGGCCACCTGTCTGTTGGAACCTTGCTCCCGGGCCGTTTGACTTGCAAAACAGCAGATACCTTGGAGAGAGCGTGAGGGGAGGGGAAGCTGCGGCGCCCCGGGTTGCTCCCAGGTTGCGAGGGCCTTGCACGGGCTGTACGAGTGCTGTCCAGCCCGATCCAGCCCTAAAAGTGTTCCCTCCCGAGCCCAGAAGGTGGCAGCCAGGTGCGTGCAGCAGAACTCAGGGCCTAGGGCAGGTGCAAAGGAGGCTCAGGGTCCTGGGCTATGCCCAGCCCTGGTTCTGTCCCCGAATGCCTTGGTGCCAGGTGCGAGGTAAACCTGTATGCTCCTGTGTGCCCAGGCACAACCCAGGCTGTAGCCACGGAGAGGGGCTGGGCCAGGCCACTGTGAGCTGGAGGTCAGGCTCCCAGACCAGCAGTACCTTGTCCCGGCCACATGCTGAGGACATTGTGTGCCCTAGAAACACTTCATGTGGATGGGGCCAGTCTCAGAGAACAATCAAGCAGCCACTGTTTGGGGATAGTTGAGCAGGTCCCTTCCCTGTCCAGCTGTGCATGACCCTGTGTAAGAAGCCCTGAGAGCCAGGGCAGGCAGTAGGGGACAACAGGAAAGGGCAGGGCTCAGCTGTTCACCCCCACATCCACACAGCGGGATCCAAGAGTTCTGACCTCCACACCATGACACTCAGTGCCACGCCAGGCACCTGGCACGCCATGGTGGCTGTGCTTTCTGCAGTCTCCTTCCTGCTGTTTGTCTGCTGGGTGGGGCACCCTCTTGGCCCTCTCCCCACACAAGTTCCACTGTTTGCACCTCAGCCTGGCCTCCAGAGCCTCCCACCCCCCAGGGGACCCCTTCAGGTGGTGCACTCAGGCACTAGTTCCCTGAGTCTGCGACCCTGGAAGAGCCTGGGCCTCATACACCTGTCCCTGCCCATGTGTCTATGGCCAGACCTGGAAGGCAGCAAGCAGGCTGCAGGCCCAAATCTACCCGCCCCCACGCAGGAGCCAGCCCACCTTGCAGCAGGACTCCCAAGACAGTGACAGTCGCAAGCAAGGCCACCTCGTCCTTCATGGCGGTGGGCAGCAGGACAGCTGCACTGCTCATCAATGCGTCCCAGCTCAGCAATGCGTCCAGGAGAGGAACAGCAGCCTCAGTGCCCTCCCCACCCCTTTTCAGTGGAGGGGCGGTGACCATGCCCACAGAGGCAGAGAGCCTGGCCACTTCCGCCCAGTCCTTCCTGCCCTTTCCATGCCTAGTCCTGTGCCAGCACAGCCTACTTCAGCTTAGGGCTGTCTGCCTCCTGTGCCCCCCACACCATACAGGGTCATCCAGGCCCTTTATCTGTATGTTGCACAGCACAGCTAGCCCTTCAGACTCTGTCCATGTGGGCCCAGGTCCCCATCCTGCTGTCCTGCCTGGCTGCAGCTGCTCAGCTCAAACCACACCTTTTGGCTCCCTTCAGCCTCAGTAGGGGCCATAGGGCCCCAGCCACACAGGCCAGCTGCCTTCTAGCTCCTTGCAGCAAGGGCCAAGCTGCCTCAGGCCGTGCAGGGAGCTCCTGTCCCCAGGCCTTCTGGTAGGTGGGTCAGCCACTGGAAGGCCTCTGTGAGGCATCTCTGCTTGCCCACCATGCCACTTGTGTTTTGTTTTGTTTCATTTGAGGCAGGGTCTTGCTATGTACTTGGGATTGTTCTTGAACTTACTATGTAACCCAGGTTGGCCTTGAACCTGTAGCAATCTTCCTGCCTCAGCCTCCTGAGTGCTGGGATTGCAGGTGTGTGCCACCACACCCAGCTATCATGCCCCTTGGTTCAGAAGAAGAGTTACACCTTTTTGGAGGCCAGGCCCTTCTCATGCTCAGGCCTCACAGCCTGAACAAACTGACTCCTCCCCTGCCTGCCTGTGGGGGACTGTGAGCTTGACAAGCCCAGAACATGAGGTGCAGCAGTGGGGAAAGGGTGCAGAGAGTGCGAAGACTGCTTGGGGCTGAGGGCTGAGAACATGGGGCCTCCCTGCCTGGAGCTCCCTTGGGCCACTCAGCCTTTTCAGTGTCATTAACTGGTTGCTTCTCCTTTAGGCTGAGGCTGGTTTGAGGTAGATTTGGTTAGCAGTGGCCAACTCCAGGCTCTGGCAGAGCTGTGAGTGTACACGGGCTGTTCTGTGGCTGGGGAGAGGACAGGCAGCCACCACTTTTCCATCGGCCCCTCATGCCTGTGCTTTCGCCTGGCCATAGAGGAGCGCTTCTGTGGCCCTGGCCAGCCTCTCCCTGCTGCCTAGGTCCCAGCTGAGGGCCCTTGCCTGCTGGGGTCCCCCCTCCTCGACTTGTCAGCTGGCCCACAGCTGGGTCCTCAGGGGCTCACCAGCTCCCTGAGGCATCAGGCCAGCCTTGGACCCAGCAGCGCTCAGTGAGGGAGAAGGCCCCACTGAGAGGCTGGAAGGCACACACCCTGGCTTATCTCCGCTCCTTGCTGGAGCCATGTACAAGCGTGCCCCTGCCCCTGTCCCACAGCCTCAAGTCTGGCTGTGTCACAGCCCACCCAAGCTGTGGGTAACCCACAAGTTCAGCTGTGCTCCTTCAAACTGTCATGTCTTCCAAGGCTTGCGCAGCTTCCCACCTAAGCCCATCCTTCTGCCCAGGAAACAGAAATGCCTGCCACCAGCAGCCCCAAGGAAGGCAGATGTCCCAGTCCCCTGGGGGTCCTTGCTTCCCCCACCCTGAGCTTGCCAGTCTCTAGTCCTGCCAGGGCTGACAGGAGGGGCCCACGGTCAGCAGTGCCGACCACTGCCCTCCATGCACCCGTGCAGGACAGAGGCACCAGCATCACAGGGGTGAGTCCCTACAGGACGTGTCCGCAGTGCCCTCAGCCCTGCATGACCCGAAAGAAGCTTCTTCTTTTTTTTTTAATTTTTTTTAGGAAAGGGTCTACAGGGTGTTCAGGACCTCACTACTAGATCCTACTTGTAGTGATCCGCCTGTGTACAGCCTCCCAAGAACTGGGATTACAGGCAGATGCCACCACACCCAGCCTCAATTACCCTCTCAGGGCGCCCTGGGGGCAGGCCCGGCACGGCAGGCCCAGGGGATCGAACCCCTGGCCCCTGAGCCTGCTTGCAGGCGCTTTAGCCCGCTGAGCTATTTGGTCCGCCCCAAAATAAGCTTTTGAAGTCCAAGCTTGTCATAAGGGCGTCTGCAGTACAAAAAGGCCAGCAAAAGCATGAGCGACAGGATGCCGGGAGGCCCTTAGCTTCTAGGTGGAAACGTGCAATGACCCTTGGGAGACAGCTGCTGTGCTCATAACTTTGCTCAGTAGTTGAACTGAAAGTCAAACTTGAAAAAACCTCAGCTGGGAGCGGTCTGGTGCGGATGTGGTGGCAGACCCGGGGGTAGGGCCTGAGGGGACTCCTGCGCACAGCGCGGGCCAACGGCAGGAGGCGCTGTGCAGGGCCTGCGTGCTCGGCCCTACAGCGCGGCTTTTTCTGCGCTTTATTGGTGTAAAGTCTCATAACTGTGGCTCCAAGGAAAGCTAGTGATGCCAGCAGCGCAGCTAGCAGGAAAACAACCATGTAGAGGCCAAGAAAATCACTGTAACATTTGTTGAGGCTCTAGAGAGATGAATTTGTAAGTGTGACTTTCGGGCCTCCAAACCAATTATATGGCACTTTTTTTTTTTTTTTTTTTTTTTTTTTGGTATGGAAGGATTGAACTCAGGACCTTGTGCTTGCCGGGGCAGGTGCTGTAGGCTACTGAGCTATATCTTCGAGCCCAATTATGTAGCTTTCTATTGTTTCACTTTCTTTCCTATTGTTTCTTATGGGAAAAATATGTTTAGTTCTTGAGCTTTTGGTGTTTGAACATGAATTTGGAATGAGTTGAATTTTTTTTTTTTTACTGAGAAAAAAGTATATATTTAGAATTAGCTAGCTGGACTCAGTTTATTTATTTTTTTTTTAATTTTTTTTTTTAACATTTATTTAGTGTGTGTGTGTGTGTGTGTGTGTGGCCAGCTCAGCCCACCAGGGGGCGCGGCTGGCTGTCACGTGGTGCTGGGGGATGAACTGCGGTCCCTGGGCTTTTCCAAGTTTGTTCCAAATAGGTGCTTTAGACCACTGAGCCATCTCTCCAGCCCCTGGACTCAGTTTAGATGATCCCAATTTTGTTGGCAACATCCAATGCATCATAATCAGGAGCCAGTCGAACACATGCCTTCTTCTCTCCATCAGGCCTGATGAGGGGATTGACCTTGGCAACATCGATGTCATAGAGCTTCTTTACAGCCTGTGTGATTTGGTGCTTATTGGCTTTGACATCCACAGTGAACACGAGTGTGCTGTTGTCCTCAATCTTCTTCATGGCGGACTCTGGTCAGGGGGAACTTGATGATGGCATAGGGGTCAAGCTTGCTTCTCCTGGGGGCGCTCTTCCGAGGGTATTTGGGCTGCCTCCGGAGCCGGAGCGTCTTGGGCCGGCGGAAGGTGGGCGACGTTCGTATCTTCTTCTTTTTGTGGCTGTGGATGCCTTTCAGCACGGCCTTTTTGGCCTTCAAAGCTTTTGCTTTGGCTTCAGCTTTGGGAGGGGCAGGGGCTTCCTTCTTTGCTTTCGGCGCCATCTTGGTAAAAAGCGGAATGAGTTGAATTTGACACGATGTCACTGCATATGTTTATTTTGAAATTTGTACAGACTTACAAAGACGTTGAAAAATTGAGCCGGGCCTAGTGGCACACGCCTGTAATCCCAGTGAGGTAGGGCCTCCAAATGCGAGCGAGGAAATACCGTAGGTCCCAACCTGTTAGATGTCTGATACACCAAGTTCATGTTCCCCAAATCCAAGAGTGAATTCTGAGGAGCAACACAGGTTAAGAGTACCAGATATTCGAATTACAGCGCCTGCAAGCAGGCGCAGGGGCCGGGGGTCAATCCAGGCCTGCCATGCCGGCCCCGCCCCTGGGGCGCACTGAGACGGCAGTTGAGACGGCGTGGTGGGCATGCCTGTAATCCCAGCTCTTGGGAGGCTGTACACAGGCGGATCACTACAAGTAGATTCTAGTAGTGAGACCCTGAACACCCTGTAGACCCACCCCTAAAATACAAAAAAAAAAGAATGCCAAATATTGATTGAGGGGAGAGATACAGCTCCTGAGAGACAGGTTGCCGAATAGCAAGGTCACAAGGTGGGTGCACATGGGCTGAAGCTGCGATCCCCCACTGAGACTGGAAGTGAGCTGCTTAGGTGTCCCTGGCCCAGCGGGGAAGCAGGTCACACAGCAGGTGCTGGAAAGAACAAAGCCCTTTTCAGGAAGGGCTGAGTCCGAGGTGGCCCAGCTACTGCCGTCCTTCCCCTGGGACTGCCGACCAGAAGGTTGGTCCTCTGTCTAGCCGGAGGCCTGCCCACCAGCAGGTGTGCTTCTGGCCACAGGTGTGATGTTGGCCTCTTTTGTAGTGACTTGTGGGGGCTGCTCTGTCTGTACGTATGCCTATTTAGCTGTCTCTGGTCCCAGCTCTTGGGAGGCCAAGGCTGGAAAATTGACACGGGCTCTTGTCTACACTGTGAGATCCTGTCTCAAAAAAAAGGTTGAAAAATAATGCAGTCTCCCTATGCTCTTCACTCAACTTCCTCTGTTAAAACATAATCATAAAAAAAATAATCATAACACAACCATGTAAGATACAAGACTAGCAGGGATCTAAAACTATCATGATATTTTACAGATTTATCTTCTTTTGTCTTTTTGAACTCTTACTGGGTTTTTTTGTTTTTTGTTTTTTCTTTTCAGAACCAGAGATTGAACTCAGGGCCTTGTGCTTGCCAGGCAAGCACTTACTCTACTGAGCCATCTCCCCAGCCTCTTTTGTCTTTTTGAGACAGGGTCTTACTATGTAGTTCAGGCTGGCCTTGAATTCAAAGTGGTGCTCCTGCCTCAGCCTCCCAAGGCTCACAGGCAGGAGGCGGGGAGATGGGTGCAGACACCTCCCCTGATGGTCCCTTCCTACTTGGGGCCAAGCACAGGGGCCCCACACCTTGTCTCCATAAGTAGGCCAGGCTGGCCTTGTACTCTAGATGATCCTCCTGCATTAGCCTCCCAGGTACTGGAATT